AGAGCACAGAGTAGGAAGTTAAGTAGTAAAAAAAGTTCTCTCAGTTGCTGTCAGATACGAGGATTTTCCCAATGCTGGAGTGTAGTAGCAGCGTTCTGGAAAATTCCAGTCTCTTTTCTCAAAGAAACACTCAGTTAATTTGACACACGTTGCTCAACTATAGCTCCAATACGATTTAAACCAATCTAAGGGTAGCTCAGGTTTAACTAAATGGGTCTTACATTCAAGATCCCATAGTCTCCTATATGCTATATTTAATTTAAAAAATCAGCCACGAAGTTTCAATATTTTAAATTGATTCCTTTTAACTGGCTACTCTCATTCTTCTATCAATTCTTAAGAACGTAATTTTCTCTTAACCACAAGTACCTATTTTTAGAACAGTTAAAAGATATTGACTTCTTCTAGAACACTTTAACAGTGCTATGTATTATGTTCCAATTTTTAGTTCTTTTCAGTCTTTCATATATTATTTCATTTGACGATTTACAGAGCATATACAGCCTCAACAACTATTTGTACTTCTAATATAACCTTAAAAGGTATTGTTTACATCTGAATTTCTATGATGGCAATGTCAAGGTTGTACAGATTCTTTTTCTTCTGACATGCCTGCCTTTTTAAATAACAAGAATATTAAACAAAATGAAAGCATTTTCAATACAAAATTCAGATTTAATAAGATACAGGGTTTATATTTATTGGCATACAACACAAGAGTGATTTCTTAACTTTAAGAGCAGTTTGCTGGGTTTTTACAGACTTCACATATCCTGCACACACATAGACATCATAAAAATTTAAACAAGCCCTTTTAAGGTTGCATAGCTTCTGTCTAAAAAAAATTCCTTCAAGTGCTTGAACTGTGATGCTAGTTTCTGCAGCACTTGTCACCTTAAAGAGTCCAGCTGTGTTTAAAGTGTATACATAAGTCATATTTCATATATTTCTACAAAATACAAGATGAATTACTAGACTAGAAAAAGAAATACAGGAAAAGGCTAACATGCAATTAAAATACTGGAATTAATCCAGTTAAATCCAAACTAAAATAATACTTATCAAAAGAACAAGACTTAGTATCAGTTTTCATCTGCAGAAATCAAGTATGGGTCATGTTTACCTTGAATATATTCAGATATATAAACTATTTCTTTGACTTCTGATGCACCTTAATGTATACATCCGTTTGATTTGCCGTCTGTGACTACATTCCTGCTGCAGACAGAGGAAAGCTAAAGCACTGAAAAACACACTTTTTGTTTCTACTATTGTATATTTCACATGTTTAACATCAAGGAAAAGTAGTGTGATATAATGCTAGATTAGCTGACATAATATGAAAAAATACTCCCTATCTACTTTACTCATATTATAAGCACATGTGCATGGTCAAAGAGTATGTAGCATGGAACATCATGAATATGATGTTCTGCTTTAAAGCTGTATATTACATATATACCTATACTTTTTATGGCTAAAGGCCATAAACTGTGTTAAGTTTTTTTTTAAAAAAATCACTTGCTAGAAAGTTGTATCTTGGGTAAAGGACTATAGTTATGCCTATCTAGAAAAGATCTATCCTTTTCCCCATAATTTTGTTTAAATTATACTGCTAAAAAGCCTGGCTGAGTCAGGGGGAAGGAATCAAGCAGGGAATTAGTCTGGAGTCATTACATAGGTAAAAGAGGACAAGATTTGATCATCCTTGAATGCCTTTGAACTTAATATCTAGTCTAGCCCAGCTACAAACTACCAGTCTGGGAAGATTCCTGTGAACTACATTAGGCATGAGCAATAAAGTAGCTAATGGAACTCTTCAGGTCTGAATCTGATGGTTTGCACTTGCCATTCAGAGAAAACAGACAATATAGCTTTTTTGTAAAGGCAAACTTCAATTTTCTTTTCACCAGTTTGGATCATGGTGCCATACAACTAACATGCATGAATACAATATTAATTGCCTATGCAGACTAGGATAGGCATATTTAGACAGAAATATTACAGACTATTTCTGTATTTCAGAATATAGAATATTTCAGAACATTACAAAATGTTTATTGCTTTTTCATATTTCAGAATATTACAGAATATTTTTGCACTACTAATGAAAAAGCAATAAACATGACCCATTTAAAACAACAGGTCATACTGAATGGTTTTATGCTACAATATGTATTGTATCTAAAATAACCAGATTCAAGTCTTGACATTTCTGAATGTCTTGAAAATTTCTTTGGTATGTATATAAATTCCAAGTAAAACCAAACTGGTTTTTATCTTTTTTAAAACATAATCTTTATATATATTTACAGATACACAAATGTATAACACACACACACACTTGGATATAAAGATGTTATGAAACTTATAGAGGAAGCTTATATTACTCAAATTACTCCAGTCAAACATGTAAGAGGATTATTATTTCAAAAAGTATGAATATTTAATTGTGGTAGCAAAACCGCAAAATACAAAAAGTATTAAGAGAGAGTACAAATTAATTTGAGATATTCTATGCAAGGTGAAGAGGTGGCACTATTTAGACAACAATAGCATATCTTGAAAGACATAGCAGGGTTGAACCTGGCTATTATTTATATGGAAGACATACAGCAAATCCTAATGCTATAGATTAGACATCAAAGATAAAAAACACACAAATGAGCCAACCATCCTGGAATAAGAAAGCAGTAACAATATTACATTTCCCATTCCATTGCTATTTGGAGATATGTCATCATGACTCAATCTCCAACTTGGAGAATATTTTACCTTTATATATTACCTAACCAAATGTACCATGTTTTCTCCATACAAAAAGTTCAAATAAATAAATAAATACTGGAAGCACAAATTATAGAGCTGTGAAAATGTATGATTTGAATGAAACGAATGCAAGAAGACAGCACTTTCAAATTCAGAAATATGTGAACACATAAACACACATTACATAGTTTAGGTAATTTACATCCATAAAATAATAAAATGTATCAATCCACAGAAATAAACAATAATATATTGTGTTGGCCAATGCATAAATCACTATCATTTCCTTCCCAATAAGATGCTTTTCGCTTCATGCAGCCCTTTCCAAACGTACTCCAAACAAAACAGGAATTGCTTTATTGCTTTCCTCAATGAGAATAAATAATGAGTCACCCTCACCTTAAAGGAGAACAAGGTACCCCAGAACTAAGGAGCTACAACTACGAAAGCTAGCTCCACAATGCCATCCTTCTTATCACCTGGGAAATGGAACCTGTAGCACGCCCTCTCACTTTGCATAAATACAGAAGACAAGTGTTCCAAAGGTTGTGTTTTCAAGAGGCAACTGGATTTCTTCAGCTGAAGCAGCTTCTTGGATGAGAAGTGAAACGTCTTCAAAGAAAAACCAGGAAGTCCAGTTGCCTCTTGAAAAATGCACCTTTGGGACAGAAGGCAAGTAGTGTGTTTCCCCGAAAATAAGACCCTGTCTTATATTCTTTTGAACCCTGAAATAAGCGCTTGGCTTTATTGCCATGCCCTCAAAAGCCCAATTGGGCTTATTATCAGGGGATGTCTTATTTTGCGGGAAACAGGGTATGCCTTGACCAGAAAGGCATGGATGTAATGAAGACACAAGCTATCAAGGGCTACATAGGTAATATCCAGAATCTTGAGTCTGATAGGAAGGGCAGTGTAATTGAAATAATGAGTGGGAGGGGCAGGTATGATGGGCGCAGGGGGCCATATCATGCTTCGGGGGTGCACACGCACTGTTTATGAGCAATTGCACAGTCCGGCCCCCAATGCGCGATTCGTGTCCTGGGTTGCAGAGTCTCAGGCGCAGGGTCCGCGGCTGATGTTGTGTAATGCCAGGTCGGTTGTTAATAAAGCCCCCCTCATTTGTGAACTTATTTTGGAGAGGGGTGCGGACCTGGCAGGTATTACGGAGACCTGGTTGGGCCAGGAGGGGGGGGGTCCCCCTTGTTGATATGTGTCCACCTGGTTTCCGTGCATTTCATCAGCCAAGGGCTCAGGGGAGGGGTGGGGGAGTGGCGGCGATTATTAGGGAAAGTCTTTGTCCGAGGGAGACCACTGTTCCTCAGATAGCCGGATGTGAATCCCTTTTTGTGAAGTGGAGCCATGGGTTGCATATGGGTTTGCTGACTGCGTACCTGGCTCCCTGCCACGTAGCGGCGACCCTGACTGAGCTACTTGACATTATTGCTGGGGTGGCGGTTGATACCCCCAGACTTATTGTCATGGGGGATTTCAACCTGCCATCCACCGGTGAGGCGTCAGAGGTGGCTCGGGAGTTCATGGCTTCCATGGCGGCCATGGACCTGACCCAGTTAGTTCAAGGCCCCACTCACACAGGGGACACACTCTGGACTTGATTTTCATCTCTGGTCAGTGGTTGAATGATCTTGGTAGAGGGGATTTAGACATTAAACCTTTGCGATGGACAGATCATTCGCTCCTTCACTTGGACTTTCCAGCTGCTTCCCCCCGCTGCAGGGAGACGGAACCGACTAGATGGTTCCGTCCCAGGCGCCTGATGGACCCCGAAAGATTCCTAATGGAGCTTGGGCTGTTTCCTGAGACCCTGGCACATGACTCGACTGAAGACCTGGTGGCCGCCTGGGATAGTGGGGCTGCCAGAGTTTTGGACCGTGTCGTGCCTTTGCGCCTCTGACCCGATGCCGATCTCAATTGGCACCTTGGTTCTCCGAGGAGCTGAGAGAGATGAAGCGTCGGAAAAGACGCCTAGAGAGCATTTGGAGGACTAGTCAATCCGATTCTGACCGAACACTGGTGAGGTCTTATATCAAGACCTACCTAGTGGCGATAAAAGCGGCGAAATCTAACTATTTTTCCGCTCTTATCACATCTGCAGAGAACCGCTCAGCCGCTCTGTTTAGGGCGACCCACTCCCTTCTTTGGGGTGGAGTGCGGGAAGATCCCTTGCAGGGTTGTGCTGAGGATTTTGTGCAATTCCTGCATGATAAAGTCGCTCAGATTCAGGAAGGCTTGGACTCCGACTGGGTGAGTCCAGGGAGGGAGACAGGGGTAGGTCTTGAGAATATTATCTGGGAGGAGTTTGATCCTGTGCCTCCCAAGGATGTGGACAGGGTTCTGGGTAAGATTAGTGCCGCCACGTGTTTATTGGACCCGTGTCCCTCCTGGTTGGTGCTGGCCTCCCGGGAGGTTACACGAGGCTGGCTCCAGGGGATTATAAGTGCTTCTCTGAGTGAGGGTGCCTTTCCTGCCACCTTGAAAGAGGCGGTAGTGAGGCCCTTCCTCAAGAAGCCTTCCCTGGATCCGGCTGTTTTGGCTAACTATCGTCCGGTTTCCAACCTTCCCTTCTTGGCGAAGGTTGTTGAGAGCGTGGTGGCACGACAACTTCCCCGGCACCTGGATGAAGCTATCTATCTGGACCCGTACCAGTCGGGCTTCAGGCAGGGGTACAGCACTGAAACGCGGCATTGGTCGCGTTGGTGGATGATCTCTGGAGGGCTCGGGACAGGGGCTGCTCCTCTGTCCTAGTCCTATTAGACCTCTCGGCGGCTTTTGATACCATCGACCATGGTATCATGCTGCAGCGGTTGAGGGGGTTAGGAATAGGGGGCACCGTTTTGCGGTGGTTCTCCTCCTTCCTCTCCGACCGCTCGCAGTTTGTGTTGGCAGGGGGACAGAGGTCGACCTCAAGGCATCTCGCATGGGGAGTGCCGCAAGGGTCGGTCCTCTCGCCTCTCCTGTTCAACATTTATGTGAAGCCACTGGGTGAGATCATCCGTGGTTTTGGGGTGAAGTGTCATCTGTACACTGACGATACTCAGCTGTACATCTCCACCCCTGACCACCCCAACGATGCCCTTGACGTGATGTCCCGCTGCCTGGAGGCCGTATGGGCCTGGATGGGGAGGAACAGGCTCAGACTCAACCCCTCCAAGACCGAGTGGCTGTGGCTTCCGGCGCCCCGATATAGTCAGCAGGTGCCATCGCTGACTATTGGGGGTGAATCCTTGCCCCCCACAGAGAGGGCTCGCAATCTGGGTGTCCTCCTGGAGGCACGGCTGTCTTTAGAAGAGCACATGACGGCCGTGGCCAGGGGGGCCTTTTATCAGGTTTGCCTGATTCGCCAGTTGCAGCCCTTTCTGGATCGGGACGCCTTGCGCACGGTCACTCACGCCCTTGTCACCTCCCGGTTGGACTATTGTAATGCTCTCTACATGGGGCTCCCCTTGAAGAGCACTCGGAGGCTCCAACTGGTCCAGAATGCGGCCACGCGGGTGGTTATGGGTGCAACCCGTTGCGCCCACGTGACACCCTTCCTGCGCGAGCTGCACTGGCTCCCAGTGGTCTTCCGGGTGCGATTCAAGGTGTTGGTTACCACCTTTAAAGCGCTCCATGGCATAGGACCCGGGTACCTTCGAGACCGACTTCTGCCACCAATAGCCTCCCACCGACCAGTCCGCTCCCACAGAGAGGGTCTCCTCCAGGTGCCATCAGCCAAGTTATGTCGGCTGGCGACACCCAGGGGGAGGGCCTTCTCTGTGGGAGCCCCAGCCCTGTGGAATGAACTGCCCCCCGAAATACGAAAGATTTCCGACCTCCGGGTGTTTTGCTGCGCTCTGAAGACCCTGTTGTTCCGCCAGGCAGGGCTATTAACATAACGTTTTAAATTGGGGTATTTTAAATTTCTGGGATTTTAATTGGAGCCTAATTATTTAATGATTTTAAATTTTAAATTGTTGTCGTGTTTTTTGTGTTTTTTTAAATAGGCTGTACACCACCCTGAGTCCTTCGGGAGAAGGGCGGTATAGAAATAAAATTATTTATTTATTTATTTTATTATTTATTTATAGTTACTCCAGGTACCTAGGAGTCATGGGATACAGTTTCAGCTTTGGCAACTTAGTCCCAGGGATGATTTTGATTGCACAGTTTGTGGGTCGGTGAGGGGGTGGGAATGAGTTCATCTGAGCCACCTCGCTGAATGCTCCAACTATATCTTTGTACTCCCAGGGGATTCCCTGCAGCAGCTTGTCTTTCGAAGTAGCAGCCGCTTCCTCTTTCAGCCCATCTCCCTGCTTCTGACTGCTAATGCCAGGAGCTGTCCCCCCCCAACCTCAAATTCCTTTCCTTCTAGTTGACTCAGGGGTTCCAGCACTTCAGCCATGTAAGTTCCAAGATGAGGGGCCATTCCATTCCAGGTGCCACTATAAAGATTAGAGTCTTGGTGTGGCTCCCCATGGCTAGCTCCAGGGGTTCAGGGACTCAGCCCATGACAGACCCGTCCAGCTGGCAAAACACAATCGGGTTCCTTAATTTTTTCAGGATGATTCCCAGTTTCCCCACCAAGGTTGGACTTATTAAGCATCTGGTGCACCCCAAGTCTAGTAGCGCCCTCTATTTTATTCTCCTCCCCAGAATGGGGATTAACAGTTCTAGGGGTAAGGTGATCAGCTTGATGGGTCCACTTACCAAAGGGTCATCTTTGAGGTCGCTGTCAGATGGCCTGGGGTCTCCTTCAGGTGGGGTCAGAGTTTTCCCTCTGGTTTTCAGGAATGGGCAGAACTCTATGACCTCACTGGTCTTCAGGGCCATGTCTTTGGAGCATGGTCTGGCTTTGCTGGTTTTCCTGTAGGCTAGCAATTGCTTTTCTTTGCCAGGGTTTTCAAATGGCATTCACCAGGTCAGTCACCCTCTTTTCCATACTTGAAACAAGCAATGGAACGTGGGATACTACTTGTGGCTTTGCAGTTTCACGTTTCCTGTCTGGTGGGGACCCTTTCCAGATGCAGGCGCACCAGTACTGGTTCCTCACCTGGTCGATTTCTGTCTCCTCCATCAGAATGTACCTGTCATGGAGACAATTCAGTGTCCCGCAGGCAATGCAGCCATGATAGATGTCATCATTCAGCCCATCCTTGAAACAGCTCACAACGATGTCCTCTGGCCAGTCCATGTGACAGGCCAGATCTCTGAATTCTTCAATATATTTGGCCACTGGCTGGCAGCCCTGCCTCATGGTTTTGATGTAGTCTCTGGCTTTACAGTCAGCTAAGGGGTCCTCAAATCTTCGTTGGGGAGCCATCATTAAATGGTTAGAATTCCGAAACTCCAGGGCATCCACGTTGTGGAGGGTCACCATCCATCTTGCAGTGGCCCTTTCCAGAGCTAGAGTGATTACTCAGACTCAGGGTCCCTAGGTTGGGAAGTCTCACCCATACTCTTGCATATAGGTGAGGACGTGGGTGAGGAAGAACCCCAGTTGTTGGGGGTCCCCATTGAACTTGATGCCCGGGGTGGTGCTTTTCATTTGAGCTGGGGGGCTCTCCCTGCTCTCACCCTGTGGATGTTCACCACCCCCAGATCCCTGCTCTCACACCCAGAGTTGGCAGGTATGGCACAGGTGTGGGTTCTACTTACCTTTACTACAGGTTTGCATCGCGCCCGCACGCTCTTCTGCGCATGTGCAGAAGCTTCTGTGCATGCGCAGAACAACTCTGATGATGGTCAAAGTTTATCCAGATCCTGATCCGGTCCGGGTCAGTGGGTGGAGCCTTCCACTGGTTTTACTACCAGTTCTTGCGAACTGGTCCAAACTGGGGGCAACCCACCACTGGTGTGGCATCTGCTCCATCCAACCCGGTGGCATTTCCAGGTGCTCCTGGGGTTTGACCTTCCTTCTTCTCTATCCCCTGGTTTCTCTTTGCCTCCATCCAGATGGTCCAGGACACTCAGGGCTCTCAGGTGCTGGAAAACTTCCAATAGGAAGCACATGACATGCTTCTTGATGTGACCCTCTCATCATCCAGATCATTGTCATCAGACAGGGCTTCCAGATCACACCTCCAGCCCTTTTGCCAACTGCCTCAGGTGAGGGTGACTCCTTTGGTTCTCTCTTCCCACTGGTCCTTCTTCCCCATGCCAACAGACCATCTCTGCTTCACGGGGTCCTCCAGGGCAGCCGGTTCCTCCACCGAGACTCCAGAGACTGCATCTGCTGCCTGGGCTGTGGTGGTGGTTTCCCCCCCAGCACTCTCCTTCTCCATGATCACTGCCCTAGTCAAACATGGTTTGCAGGGTCCCCTCTTTCTAGAGTGCTCAGTAGAGCAAAGTTTCTCCAGATTGACCATTTTTGCAGATCCTGCTTAATGTAAGGTCTTGCCTCCCCTACCTCCTCAAGAAAGCAGAACTCTTGAAACTGGTAGCATTTCAAAAGGAACTTTTATTGGGAGTTACTGACACTGAAAGAAAAGTTTTCCAAGGGCACCAATACTATATTATATAGATTTCTGGTAACAAAGTTAATAAAGGCATTATGAAAAGATTCTAGAGATTGCTGTGCTCAAAATTTATACTTATTTATACTGAAATCAATGTTCAAAGATCTTTCTCTAGTGGGCTGAAGATATTTCTTTTGGGGCATAAGCAGTTATTTCCACCTGTCTCTTATTTTGCTGTTGGACTTATCTCTTGTCAGAGTTGCAATTGTTCTCACAGAATAATTTGTATCCTAGCTTGCAATAGGCATTCCTAGTAGGGTACAGAACATCAGGAACAGCATGCTTACAGCAATTAAAATATGTCAAAACACCATTCTATGAACCGCACAACATTTTTGCAGACTCCCAGCATGCATGTATCTATTGTTGGCAAAAAGGAATGATTGGTGCACAGAGTGAGAAAAGACTTATCAAAGCTAATCATCAGCTGGTTGATCTACGAGGATAATTTTGCCCTTTTGTTATTTGTTACATTTAATTCTGTATATTTATGTACATGAATACAAAACTGACAGCTCAGGAGGGTTATAAAGAGTCTAAAATGAGGAATGGAAGAAAAAAATACAACTAAATTGGTTTTAAGAAGTGACTGTGAAAGCACAATCACTTCTTAAAGCCAACTTTAAGAACTTTTATCCTATGTGCACCAACAAAGAATCATATGATAATAACTCATGCTAAAACAAACATGAGAAATGTAAAGAATAAATAAAACATATCCTACCAAAATACAGTTATTCTGAACATCTATTAGACAGCTACAGTAATATATTTTATATATCATACAACAACCAAGTATAGGAACAATAGAAAAATGAGCCTATTGTAAGCATTATGATTCTTATGGCACTATGGCATAGAACAAAACTAGTGTCTTCAGCTTAATAAAAATGATTTCTAAATGCACATTCTTTCATGCCCTTCCCTAATCAGTACAGATGCATACAGAAGGTCTTAGCATGAGGCTTGACTTAGCTGATTTTGCCTGAAAAGGCTAACCAGGACCAGATTAGATTAATCTTTAGATGGGAGGCAATCAATGAATCCTTGGGCTGCAGGCTAAACTAGAAAGTTGAGGAAACACCCCAGAAAAGAGTGGTGAACTATATCTGTACTATTGCCAAGAAGACTAAGTGGACATCTATAGGAATGTCCACAGGAATAAAGTTTGCCTAAGTTTTTAAAAAGAAACAAAGAGCCTGAATTATAAAAAGTTTCAATTTATAATTACTATATCACTACTTAAAGATTCAAAATGCATTTTTCAAAACCCCATAAAAAAATAAAATGGGAAAGTTGAAAAGATCATATTTTGTGGTAGTGAAGAGAAAGAAATAATGCTTGATATTATTATGGCTCTGAGTCAGATCATTAGTTGATCAGTTCAATTTATTCACACAATGTCACCAGCTCTTTAAAATGTTGAAAAATCCTACCTGGAGATACTCAGAACTGAACCAGGAATCTTCCACATGCAAGTAAAGTATTCTGTCAATGAGCAATGATCTTTCTTCAAGGAAATTTCTGTAGGAATCTTCTCACCTATGGGGTTTAGGAATCCAAATATGTGACCTTGGAGATGAAAAGCCATACGTTCCTGAATTAGATCTTAAAGTTATATGACAAAACTAAGACAAATATTTGTAAAATGTAATATATTTGTTGCACAATATGTTGGTTGAGGCTTGTTTGTTCTTTTCTGATTTCCTGAAGCTGGTATAATAGGCAAGATATAAATCAATATTTATTTTGGTTTCTATTTATACTGGCCATATTTTTTGAGCAATTTTTCTTTTCTTTCTAAAAAATTAGTTTCATACTTGTACTAGATGACATGAAAACTCAAAAGAAATTACTTTAAAGCAGAACTTTAGATGGGAAAGTGCTGGGTTGATGCTATTGCTTTGGCAATCTCATCTCATTGTGATCTTGCCAATTTGTGCAACCCATTAATTCATCACTTCAGAGTTAAGGACTCTTCATCTATGGTGGAGGTCCCCAACCCCTGGTCCGTAGACTGGTATCGCTCTGCGGCCAGTTAGAAACCAAGCTGCACATCTAGAGGTGAGCTGGAGGCACATTTTCTTTACCATTTTCAGGACAATCACGCAGAAGTAATTTGCCAGTTGACTTAAACCACAATTAAGCCCAAGAGTTCTGTTGCTAAGTGAGACATTTATTAAATGAATTTTGCCTCCTTTTACCTTTCTTGCCACAGTTATTAACTGAATCACTGCAGTTATTAAATTAATAACATGGTTGTTAAGTGAATCTGGTTTTCCCATTGACTTTGCTTGTCAGAAGGTAACAAAAGGTGATCAATCACATGGTCCCAGGACCCTGCAATCATAAATATGAACCAGTTGCTGAGCTCTGAATTTTGATCATGTGACCATGGGGATGCTGCAATGGTTGTAAGTGTGAAAAATGGTCATAAGTCACTTTTTGGTGCCGTTGTAATTTTGAGTGGTCACTAAATGAACTGTTATAAGTTGAGGAATACCTGTATGCTCTCTTTTTTTTCCAGCTTCCAGGTTTTGGAATACTGTACCCCTCAAGGTAAGATCTGCTCCACCTTCAAGGCCTTCCAAAAGAGCTTTAAAACTGGCTCTGCCATTTGACCTGAGGTCCCAATGGAGGTGTTCCCTGCTGGAGATGATTAGTGAACTAGGAATATCTCACCCACACCCTGTTATATTCTGGTTTCTAAGTTATTTAATTTCTGCAAATTTTACTGTTAATGTTTTTATGTCTATCTTTTTTTTCTATCTCTGCTTTTATGAATTTATAAGAATCGCCTGACAGTGAGATGGGTGGCATATAAATTTAATAAACATATATTTGTTTTATCTGCTTCCATGTTTATTCATCAGTTATGGCATTTCCAGAGAGTTCTCTATCCATTTACTGAAAACAGTGAATCTTACTTAATATTCAAAGTCAGCCAAAAGCTAATACAGTAGCATTCATTACAAATTGTCACCATATGAGATTAAAATATAAAAGGAACATATATTGACCATGCCTATATAATGTATAAAACAGGAAATCAATAAAGTTATTCAATTCAATATAGCACATATATGCATAGTTGTTCATAGTTTGGAATAGTAACAACATATTCTTCAGGATTCAGTATTTTTAATATCTTAACAAAAATATTCTACAACAAGAAATAAAAACACAATATCAAATATACAGTATCAATTGAGAACAATTAAAATTACAAGATTATCACCATTTTAGAAATTTAGAAAATATCAATCTTGCTTGTCATTCCTCTATATTTACAATTAATTGCAAACTAAGGAAAATATCTTTGTTTCAACTTTTACTTCATTTCTTCAGGTATTAGCAATATAATTCATAATTAATAAAATATAATTTCTGAAATCAAACTTTATTCAAAGGTCTTTAAATTATAGAACAAGAACTAAGGGAAAAATTCAACTTTAGGCATTATCATTGGCAAAAGGTCTTCCGGAATTAAAAGTAAATTCTTTAGAAAGCTTAAAAAATACTAGTCAGTGACACTATATGAGTGATAGAAATTGTAGGCAGAGTCAAAAGAGGAATCAGCCTAGAGTCTTTATGTAGCCACAAACCACATAAATTCAACCCATCTTGAATTCCATTGACCATTATCTAACGCCAAGATAGTGCCAACTACCAGTTGAGTAGATTTTTTTATCTAGGCACTATTAGTAATAAATTAGTTAAATTGATACTGTGTTTCCCCGACAATAAGACCCTGTCTTATATTTTTTTGAACCCTGAAATAAGCACTTAGCCTTATTGCCATGCGTTCAAAAACCTGATTGGGCTTATTATCAGAGGATGTCTTATTTTGGGGAAAACAGGGTATTTCATGCATGGTCCAGGTCTTTCACACCTGATAGACATATACCAATGAAAAATCTAATAACTAGTTTTAATTTCTTCATTTTCCCTGCCCCCTCTCCTCTGATGAATAATCACTCAACAAAGTTTTGGGAATAATTTGAGTACTCAAGCAAAGCCAGAATGCAGAGTGGCTACCAAACTGAACTCTGAGAGCTATATTTTGTTCTTGTTTTTTAAAGTTGTGCACAGTTCCACAGCTGTTAATGCTGTTACTTTGTGCAAAATTGTAAGATATTTAGTAACGAGGATTTTCTGTTTCTAATTTCCCTTTCAAATCTTACTTAAATAGTTCATAATATTGAAACCCAAGTAAATACTAATTAACAGTATACATTAAACAAGTTATTGCTTAATGCAAATATCTTATAAGTAAAAAATTTAAAGAAGCATCCTCTGGTTTTTGTTTTATTTTACAGACTTGAATGAGCAATATTTACCAGGCCAAAATGCAATGAATCAGAGTTAAAATCCCAATACCACTCCAAGGACAGCAGTACAGAATAAGAGAAACCTCAGTATTTTTCTTAAGATCTTAAGTTGCTAAGGAGGCAAGGTAAAGTAATGCACTATCAACACATAGTGCAGGGGTGTCAAACTGGATTTCTTCGAGGGCTGGATCAGCATTGTAGTTCTCCACTGGCTGGCGGGGAGGGGAACGGGGGGGGGGGGGATGGGGCAGACACCTCCTGCAGCACACTGCCCGCCAAAATGGGGCACGGGGGGGACTGTGCGCTACCCCATGGCTCATTTCTGGCCTTCATGGCCTGCAGCACTCCGCTAGCCAAAAATGGGCTATGTCGGGAAGGCCAAAAATGGGCTGCATACAGCCTGTTTTTGGCTGGTAGAGTGCTGCTGGAGACCAGGGAGGCCAAAAACAGGTCCCAAGGGGGGGCCATTTTGGCGACAGGGGCACTACAGGCCAGTCCTTTGATATTTCCAGGCCTGCCCTAAGGGGCAGATTTAAGCACTCTGAGGGCAGATCTGACCCACGGGCCTTGAGTTTGACACCCCTGACATAGTATATTCTACAAGCAAATTATATCCAGATAATTAGCAAGACATTTAAGGAAATTCTTTTGACCAGCATAGATAAATAAATAACAGTTTTTTTAAAAAAATCAGATGAAATACAGAGAACAAGATATTTAATTTGGTATCAATATATTTGATTTTGTTTCATGTTTATGTAACTAGGCTACAATCATTTGCTATTCTGATAAGTTTTAAAATACACTGCTCAAAAAAATAAAGGGAACGCAAACAGAAGACGTCCGAGATCTGAATGAATGAATAGCCTTATTAAATACTTTGTTCGGTACATACAGTAGTTTTGTGTTCCCTTTAGTTGTTTGAGCAGTGTATAAACTACTGTATGTAAAGAACAATGTATTTAATAAGGCTATTTCATTCATTCAGATCTCGGATGTCTTCTGCTTGTGTTCCCTTTATTTTTTTGAACAGTGTAATTTATTTATTTATTTATTTATTTATTTATTTATTTATTTATTTATTTATTATCGGATTTATATGCCGCCCTTTCTCCACAAGGACTCAGGGCAGCTCACAACAATAAACAACAAGTCCAATTAAAATTCAACAATAAAAACTAAAATTCCCATTAAAACCCCATTCAGTATACATTATATACTGTATAAGCTAGATCTTTGTTGGGTTTTTTTTTTTAAAAAAAAAAAAGCTTTCTATGCCATTTTTCCAGGTTAGAAACAATGTTTCTGTTTTCTATGGATCTTGGTAACATAGCAGAAAAAATTAGGTTGATATCACATTGTTACTGACCTCCTCAAGTCTTGTTTGCTGATCCAATCATCTTGCAATTTATGAAGCCTGATTAATCATGTGAGTTATTTGTACAAGCCTCAGAGAAATTATCTTAGTGTCTACTTCATTCAGTAAAGTCCTTTTCCTTTAAGAGGAAATATCAAGTCCGTCTTACACAAAAGACATTTAGTACTTTTGTTTATCCTTCATTTGGGAAAATAATTTCTTCCCTTTCACTGGTACTCCTCCCTAAAAACTCTACCATTGTTAAAGATTAACTGACTACTAATGTAGAATTGCTGTCATGTTTGGAAACTACCTTACAAGTTTGGGAATAGGATAGGATATTCTTGAATCATTTCCATTGCTTTCTTTATTATTTACTAAGACCCATGTCACATATCAGATATGATTCAGGCAAACATAACTTATTGTTTACATAATTATGTAATAATATATGTTTTCATAATTCAAATAATATTTGAAAACAAATTATATTCTCTGCAGAGCAATCACATTCTGGGACTTGGATGCTTGACTGATTTATATTTGGAGTTTAAGAATATGCTATTCTTCTGTGTTGCTTTTGTCTCTGGAATTCTATAAAGACTGTTTTACGTATATGCCCAGCAGGTTGCTGCTTTCTGTTGCTATCTTTTCACCACCACTAGGTTACCAAGACATCAAATCAGTTACACAATTAGTGACCTGCAATGGGCATGCTGCTATACATCTCCTCAATTGGCATGTACTGAAAAAGCATAAAGCAAGTCTTTGAGTAAGTTTTTGGTCCTCTGAATGAAGGCAGGCTGTGTAAGTAGACCTCTATAAAAGGGAAAAGGAATGGCACTCAAGGATAGGAGGAAGACCACTTCCCAAAGCAATGGTCAGATAAGCAAGGCTTAAGTGTGTCTAATTTGAGAAAACATCTCACCCTAGTTCACATGAACATACAGGTGTGGGGGAGCACATTAAACTTGCAAAATTGTTATTATAGCTATTACAATAAAAGTAGGCGTTACCTATATGCCATTGGTTTCTTAGTCTGATCTGACCTATATGACAGTAGTTTATTAGTCTGGCGTATCTTGTAGGACTGTCAACATCTGCACCTGGAGTATGGTAGATACAGTGATACAGTGAATATATTCTTGCCAGCTTAGCATTGACACACATAGGGAGAAAAAGCTAAGGTGTGAACAGGCTCACCCATGATTATGGAGAGGTGGGGGGGGAGGGGAGGGGGAGAAGCAGGTTCTTTAGTAGAATTTCCAGCCAGAAATATGGTAACCTAATCTAAATCTATTTTTTTAAAAGTTTGAATGAGGCAGCAACTACATGAATGTACAATGTATTTACTGATGTATTACAACCTGGTGGCATGTCAAGGTGAAAGTAGGGTGTGTTCCAGATAGGCAAGTCTGTTCAAGACTTGAGTAAAAGGAATCAGATAGTGGCCACGTATATAAGTTAACAAGGAATGCAGTTAACATTTTAGTATGAAGATACAGAAATGACTAGGACAAGACTATCATATCAAATTAAAAAGCCAACTGACAACACAAAGCATAATAAAGAAACTTTTAGAACTATACCTGCAAGAATGTTTTTAAAATTTGTGATAATTATTGCTATAAAATAGGCTTTTAAGTCAGATGTTCTAAGTGAGAAAATCCTTCAGATAGATAACTTCATGGACAACTTAAACTACTTTAATTTACATCAGGGGTGTCAAACTCACATCGTCACAGTGTTGTCACATGACGTATTGGAACTTTTCCCCCCTTTGCTAAACCGGGCATTGGCATGGCCAGCATGTGACATATCCGGCCCATGGGCCAGGAGTTTGACAGCCCTGATTTACATGAAGCACCTATCCATCCAGGTTCTGTGTTTACCATTCATAAGCAGCTTGATCCCTTATACAGGTGTTAACATAAATGACTTGTATCCTAAGGTACCATATTTTTAGTTGCTACATCCATCAGATTTCACAGGTATTTCCTATTCTGACTGTCTAAGTTTTATTTATAACTATTTTGCAGAGATTCTTTCTGTGTTATGTTGGGACCCCAACTTCTATGATTTTAAGATCACTGTGGGGGACTGAAAGACTGTAAGAGGCTTTTTCCTATGGTAAAAGTGCTGAAGAAATTCAAAACGGAAA